TTTATTGCTACCTCACAAAGAATAATGTTTTGTTTACTAAAAGGACAGTCTTCTGCAAACTGAGAGTGGAAGGCCAGATTGTCAGCCGGATGTCTAAGGCTGTGAACCTGCCTTTCACTGTTCAGGAACACATTGGAAAAGTAGAGCGACTTTCCCCATGTGGCAGGGATTTCCAAGGTGACATGCTTGGCAATGGAATGTCACAATCGAGTTGGTCAGTGGCAGTCTTGGTAGTCAGGTTCCTGAGCCTGGTGGGTCTGCAATATTCCAGGGCACTGCTGATGACAGCACAACCAGCCTGGCTTATCAGCAGGACCTGGAGGGGTAGACCAGTTACTGGGACAGGGATTCTTCTCACCCAGCTCCTGTTTACCTTGCAAGCCAAATCCGTAACTGGTAGGGTAGTCCTAGCTGGACAAGCAATGGGAAGATTGCCAGACAGCGATGTCAATGGCAAACTATGCGGTTTCAACTGTTAAGACTCCAGCAGTAGCTCAACACACACTTTGCCAACACCCCCTCCCCCACCCCCAAGACTCTTGTCAACCTGTGCCTAATGATCCCCGGAATTAGGTAAGCAGTGTGCTCTTCCAGGAGAGTGAGCAGTCCTTTCCATATGCAGGTAATTTTAATGTGTAGATGGGATGCATAGAATTCTGCCTGGTTTGGATGGTCGTGGTGAGGGGTTTCTGTATGTGTCAGACACCTGGCTGATTTGCCCCCTCCCCCATAAAAATCAGTAGGGCATTTCCATGTGCAATTTGGAGATTTCTTTTTATAGAGAAAGTCTGGTTTAAATCTGGCTTTCATTATATCCATATTTACCACTGAAAATGAGGAAGTGGTCAAATTTGAGACGTTAATTTCATCTTTGATATATCCTGATTCTTTATTGTACACAGATCGCACAATGTGTTCCCATTAGATAATATTCTGGGTAATATAGCACACAGAATTATACTCATACTGATACTTTCTACAATAGAAGGATTAACCACAACTTCAATACTTGAATATTCAGCTGGAATTTTTTTTCTTAATATTTCTGTGTGAATAATTAAGAGTTTGATTAAACTGATGCTTTCAAAACGATTCATCTTTTTACCTCTTCATTGCCTGAGCACCTCAGCTTGGGGCCACTGAGGGAGAAACTGGTAGAGAACACAGGCAATCTGAACTAGCCAGCGAGCAGTAAGATGGGCTAGTTAAATTTTCTACATCACAAAAAGGGATAAATATTATAAATGATTTAAAATACTGAAATGGAATTAAAGAAGGTAATCCAATTGATGGTTTCAAATAGCGCTCATAAACTGAGAGAATGAATGACTTCATCTGAACCCTTTGATTGGATTAGTGCTTTGTAATTTCTTGCAATGTAGCTATTATACTCTATCTCATGCCTTAGATCTATAATGGGAACAGCAGCATTGGTTCAGGGGACTTTTGTCATTACCAAAAAGTGCCTGGTGAATATTATTTTGCCCAAATTTTTTCATGTGAGACAACACCATTTAAACAACCTTTGAGCGAACATGATCACCAATTTGCATGCAGCAATGTTTCAGGAGGTGAATTACAACACAGTGGGCAGTACAGATCAGCATGAGATGAGTGAGAGCATTGCCATCGTCTTCCTGTCCGCAGCTCAGACACGTCCATTCCCATTAACCAACGGTTGTTGTTTTCTCAGCAATTTCAAAACGGTATCACACAATTAAAGAATATAATTATTTCATTGTAAATGTCAATGAGCTAACCAACAACTTGTTATTTCCTACCTAGTTACAGGTTTAAACTGGGCCCATTAGATGAGACTAATGAGCATAAATTACAGGTTTCAGCTATTATTTAATGATAGGGAGCATACAGGGGAATATAATCAGATCATTTGTATTCTCAATTTTATTAATTACACAATGATGGAATTAATTTATTTTTGGTGTAAATATTAGTGGAAAGCCACACAATTTTGCAACCTATAGTATATATATATTTATTCCACAAAGATAAATACAAAGTTATTACAATTCACAGCAATTTTGCAGGCTGATTTTTAAAAATAATTGTATTGCTGCAAGCAAAGTGAGATTGACCTTCTTAAATGTTATTATGTTCTACCTCAGCTCATGAATTCCTGCATTAAATTTCCCCAATTCAATGAGAAATGCAAACATTTGCTGACGTGGATCACCACAGCGTGAAGATAAAATAAATGGATTTCATTTCTTTATTTGATTCAAAACAGCAACAATAAAAAGTAAAGCCAACTGGGGCAGGCTCTGTATGTAAGTGAAGGTTTGGGATTGCGATGCAGTTGTGCAAATAAGATTTCTTTGACAGTGGCCAGAAGGTTTCTTTTGAAACCAATCAACTGATGAGAGCTTCATGCTGTGGGCAAGATGAAGAGAGAATGAACTGAGCGCAACTAACTCACCTGTGAGCCATAACTGCTGTCAGCAGCCTGTCTCTTTAATCACACCAGTATTAAAACGTGGGCCCAGAAACAAAGGAAAGTGGCTGGAAAAGCACTGGGCAATAAGCTGCCTTTTTTAAATTGGGCCGTTTACACTGTAGATTTACAAAGTGGTTGTCTCACAGAAAGTGAAAACCAATTGTTGACCGAGCTAATAATAATCTTTGCATTTGATATTGTTTTTCACGTGCGCACATCTCAAGCATTTTGCAGGATATGTGTAGTGACTGTGTATTTTGTTGGCAAACTCTGATTTGAGTGTGATTTCACAAGATCAGTTTGGATGAAGGAGGCCTGTCGGCCCATCTGATCTCATCCCTCGAGAATACCCACCCTAATGACGTCCCATCACAGCATCAAGCTGCTTTTTAAATGAGTCAAGTGTCCTGACCTCAACTACCCTTCCTGGCGATCTGTCCCAGGCTTTATTTGGCCTCTGGGTAAAGACAAACTTCCTGATAACTGTCCTGAAATTGCCCTTTGCAAGTCTAAATCTATGTCCTCCGTTCCACTGTCTAGGTGCATCCTAAAGTAAAACTGAGAGATCACTGATTTGAGTATAATTTGGTTTAACAGGAAGGTAAACAGCCTGGGCTTGACACTGACTGCAGTGTAACTGCAACAAAGCATGGCTCTTCTTAAACTTTAAATGCTGGTGAATGGCAAATGTCCTGCTGGCTCTTCAGTGACATTGATATCATTGGTGACACTGATACAGATGTCACCACTATTTGGACAAGTGAAGCCTAGGTGTATAAACGTGCATAGACTGAGCTCCATTCTCACTGAGCACAAAGATGTGCTGGTAATAAAATCTGGCACTGGCAAACTGGGGGAGCTTTTTATAATTTCTGTCTTGTTAGATAGATGTAGACTGGGATCAGGAACACAATTTTTTAACATAACTTTTTGCAGATAATCACAGCGTTAAAAATATAAGATTAAGCAAAAGTTTGAAAAATTCTTAAACCCAGTCTCAATTTGGAAGCATTTTTCTGTTGTTCATAAAGACTTAATTTAAATGTTTTCAAAACAATTCTGAACTGTTTTAAATTTTAAGACAATGGTTTTAAGATTAAGAAGAGTTTTTCAAAACTCAGGAAATTGCTAATACCTTTCACATGCCTGGATCTGACTTTACAGCTGCTTCATGGTATTGTGCAGTTGAAATTACATTGCGTGATATTTAACAACTGTTTACAGCGTTTTACTTGTTTGAGCACTTAATGTTGTTCGAAAGTGCTAATTACAAACATTTAGTTTTGTTAATCAGTTCCTAGGATACACACGTCTTGTTCCGACAGTGTGAAGTGATTCATGGTGTAATTATTCATGCAGACTCAAGAATTATTTCAGGTACATTTCCCACTAACGGAAGACTGCCTAATCCCATTAAGAAGCAAGGAATGGTTACGAGTTAATGACCTAGTTTTATGCAAGGAAACATGGTACAGTTAAAATGCTGACAATTTCGAATTTGCCAAAAATATATTCATTTGAAAATGATCTTATCAAGGATAAGTGCGCTACAGAAAATGGATTGTAACACTTAAAAAAAAAGTTCAGCTCATGTTACATTTATCTTACAAGGAATGCTTGTACGACCACACATCTCTGATTTCCTCAGCATCATTGTTAGGTAAATAAGGGCACTGCTGCCTTCGGAGTTTCCAAGACACACTTGAAAAGGTGGTTTTCTCAGCACCTCCAGGGTTAGTAATACAGCCACCAGCCTCAGAGGCCTCGGCAACACACAGCAGTAGATAAAACTGAGCCCACTTTCCCTATCGGTAATGTGCACGGACCTAACCCCCCACCCAAACATCAAGGAAGATCTATGGCAAGAAATGAAAGCTACAAACTTATCTTTCAAACCTCCACCAGCCACACATGCAGTCTTGCCACCATTGCCGTGGAATCCACAACGTGAACCTTTTCCACAGAAAAGTTTTGCAGGGCTATGGGTTAAGAGTGGGGATGTGGGAGTAGTTGGATAGCTCTTTCAAAGAGCCGGCACAGGCACAGTGGGCCGAATGGCCTCCCTCTGTATTGTATGATTCTATATATAAAGAAAAGGCAGATCAGGTTATTACAGGGCTGTGCAGAACATAATTGGCTCTGAAATACAGACATCGATGAGGCAATGTCAGTACATGTTTCTGACTTGCAAGCCAGATTCTTCAGTTCAGCCATCCCCGAAGTATTACAATACTGACCAGGTCTCGCTGCCGACCCTGCTTTGGCAATAACAGCAGTGAAAGGTAAATGTCAGTGGCATGTTTGCGAGCATTTCGATCTTCATAGGAAAAGTCTTTATTTGAAGACCTTATATTCAAAGTGTGAAAAGGGAACTTTATTTTAAATGAGGTCAGGCTCACAGGTGTCGGGACCCATCTGCAAATGTTAGTGAGCTGCAGAGTTCAGCTCTGTGGACAATATCATGCACAGACTGTCATTATGGAAACAGCTGCAGCTGGCACTCAGCTCCCCCCTTTCTGCTGCCTCCTCAAAAGGATGAGACAACTTTTTATTTAAAAAAACTATTCCTTTAATATTTTTGATGGAAGAGCTCCCGCTGCCTTACAGAAATGTTCCTGTCAAAAAAAAAAATCACTGTTCCATTTCCTCCTCGTCACTGCTTTCCACAAAGTCATCCTGGATATCCTCAGTGGGAGGCTGCTCATCGTCTGAAGGCTCTGAGCCCTCAGCACCTCCCAGGTCTGCCAGGAGCTGCTCCGTGTGATCCAGCAGTGGGGAGTCATCACACTTGAGCTTTGTGTAAAGCTGCAAAACACAAGAGAATAGGTAAGGTTTAACACAACTCGTAATTCACTTTGCCAGACGATATGCTGTTCGGAAAGCACCACAAGCTGAATTGTCTCCTCTGGTGTTCAAAAAACAAATCTTCCTCAACTCCAGTAATGTGTCAGTTGTCAAACTGGCTCAGTTGGTAGCACTCTCTTCTTCAAGGCAGAAGGTTGTGGGTTTGAGCCCACATTAGGACTTTGAACTCAAATAGTCTGACGGTCCAGCGCAATCCCAGGGTGCCATCCTTTGGGTGAGCCATTAAACTAAGGTCCCATCTGCTTGTTCGGGTGGATGCTAAAGATCCCATGCCACTATTCCAAAAGAGAAGGGGGTTTCGCCCAGTGTCTTGTCCAACAATCTCCCAAAATAAAATTGGTCACTCACTTCAGGGGCATTAGTGGGACAATGCTGTGTGGAAAATGAGCAGCCATGTTTCACCTACAAAATACCGTCACAGTATATCCTTTATTATTATTACTAAGGCAAAAGTCTAACTATAAACCCTGCTGCAATTTCTCCCACAATTTTAATATATTGGGCAGAGAGCAGCAATCTTGTATAATTGGAGATTCGGATCCAATCCCTATAGTCTGGGCAGGTATTGATTTTTCATCAGCAAATCCGGGAAACCCACATGATTGGTGTCTTGAAGCTAGATGCCTGAATACTATTTAAACATCATTATTTTGAATCAAAGAAATTAGTGGCCATTCAGTCTAAAGTGTCTTCTAGTGCCAGCTCCCCCATTGATACTATCTACATTAATCCAACTCTGCTGCTCTTTACCATACCTCTTAATGATATTTTACCTCACTTGTTAATTCAAATCCTTTTGAACTGCTATTAGAGACTGAGCTTCACCAGCTATTTGCAGAAAGGTAACCCATATTCTGACAACCCTCTGCGTAAAAAATCTTTTAAACTCCCCCTTCTCATTTTCATTTTGCCCCTTATGATAATTCTCATTTTTTCTGTTTTAGTTATTGACTCGTCGATCAGTGGAAAGTCTCTCTAGTTGTTTTTTCCCGAAAAACTTTATTTTTATTTTACTTTCCTGATCTCTTGCAAAGGGTGATAGAATGATTCTATTTTTTCATGTGCACTGCACACAACAAATACTTAAAGGGTTAGGGTTTGGGTTGGGTTAGGATTAGGTTAGGGTTAGGTTGCACTGTAATTCTGAGCTTGCTTTAATAAGCACTGTGGACACTGGGAATTGGGCCATATTTTCTGAAACAGCAGTACAGTTGAAAAATATAGACAAATCAGGATTACAAATGTGCATGACCTGAAGACTGAGATCCCATTTATACTGCAATAGTATCCAAATATGATGGCCTACCCCTTAGCACGGTGGCAGGAAGGGTGGGGCAAACTGGCATTTTTAGGGATAACAACACCTTGCATTCATCTTCGTGTGGAGTAGGATCTTGGAGCATCTAACAATGACGGAGGCTGAAATGGACCCAAGGAGAGAGAGGAGGTCACTGTAGGCACGATCAAAGAGGAAGCTGTGATTTGAAGACACACAAGGAGGGGGCAAGACAGAGGGATTAGGGCAGTGAGTTCCAGATCTTAGGACGTTGTGGCTGAAATCAGGGCTGCTGATGGTGGAGCAAAAGGGACAAGGGATAATCCAGGTATAAATTCCAGGTAGGCCTTTAAAAATGTGTTTTATATTGCAAAGACTTGCCTAATGATTCACAAAGTTGTTATTGTTGTTTTGAACTAAAAAGAAAAAAATGAATAAGGCAAACTGAATATGACCTTACAAGAATGAACTTCTGATATCAAATAGCATTTCAAATCTGATAAACTGGATACTCGGTGAGGTTTAAAATGTGTTCTCGGTCAGGTCAAAAATTTGCAGGCTGCAATCTGGATGTGCAGAAGATGGTAAATATCGAATGGTGTCAGGAAATGGATGTGGGCCATTGTGATGAATGGAAGTGCCATTCCAACGCAATATTTTTCTGGGAGGGCCAGAGCTGTGCGTCTGCATGTCAGACATCTAGTCACTAGCAGTGTTTGATATTTCCCATACTTTGTAAATCCAAGTTGTGAATACCATATTTTCAACCACAATGCCATCCTATCAAATACATTTGTAATTTCCAACCGCAATGCTTTACAGCTTTGTTGTGATTTAAAACACCTGTACGTTATTCAGATACTTGCATTTCTGAAATTAGTTTCACAGAAAGCCATTACCCTTTATTTATTCTACGCACAAGCACGTCTCAAAGTGCTTTACATAGATGGAATAGGAGCCCGCGCAGAATGGGTTAGAGCGGGTTGGTGAGAGCTAGTACAACAGATGAAATCATCCTAGGCCAGATCACCCTGTTTTACAACAATTAAAGAAATAAAAGCAGGCCTGGGTGTTGCAGCACAACCTACAGAAACATCTCCATTCATTTTTACATTTTAATCTTCCAAAGCTTTGAAAGGTAAATACCAGCTCCCAAAAAATGAATAAAGACTTAGACTGGTAAACAGTGGGTTTGTTTCACAAGATCACAAGAAAGGTTTATATGAACAAGGTCCTTCATATATTTGATCTCATCCTTTTAGTATACCCACCTTATGGTTTTCCCATTAATGAGTCCAGAGTCCTGGCCTCAACTACCCTTCCTGGTAACCCGTTTCAGTCATTATTTATCTCTAGGCAAAGAAATACCCCCTGTCTGAAATTGCTCTTTGCAACCCTCAACTTGCATTATTTTGTTTGACTGTATCTTTCTGGGTTTCCTTTTTCAATCCTACTTAAAAATGTATATACCTTCATGAGGTGACCTCTGATCCTTCCAAACAATCCCAAATTTCCAAAATCATCCTGTACACAAAAAAGACTACAACAACAACAAAATTACACTTATAGAGCGCCTTTCACGTTGGGAGGACATCCCAAAGCGCTGGACTAAATTGTCCCAGCCTCAACACAGACTGTTCATATCATTCCCTTAAAAATGCTAGGAAAAGTGACTAAAATAACTCAAATGGTTCTTTGTTCAGAAGGACAAATAATAGTGACTTGAACATTCCTGAAACCATCCACTGAATTTAAATACAACAAGAAGAAGAAGATTACATTTGTATAGCACCCTTCACGTCGGGAAGATGTCCCAAGGCGCTGGACAGTGTACAGCATTTCAGGCCCACGTTGGGGCCAGGGAGGGAGAAGGGAGGGGAAGGGGGGTGGCCGATGGCATGGTCAAAGAGAAGAGTTTTGAGGCAGGACTTGAAGGAGGCTAAGGAGGGGGTGAGGCGGAGTGATTGAGGGATGGAATTCCAGAGGTTGGGGGTAGAGCGGCTGATGGCTCTCCCGCCAATGGTGGGGCGGGTGGATTGGGGGACGTGGAGCAGGCCAGAGCCGGCTGAGCGGAGGGAGCAGGCGGGTTGTTACAACAAGACAACAACAAGATTCCATTTATAAAGCGCCTTTCACGTCAGGAGGACGTCCCAAGGCGCTGTACAGTTGGGTCATGACCCGAGCAGGGGGGAAATGGTCAGGGTGAGGGGAGGGAAGGGAGGGAGCGAGGAGGGGGAAGAGAGTCGAGAGGGGAGCTGAAGGCACGGTCAAAGAGAAAGGTTTTGAGACCGGCCTTGAAGGAGGAAAGGGAGGAAGCAAGGCGAAGGCACTGGGGGATGGAGTTCCAGAGCCTCGGGGCTGAGAGGCTGAAGGCCCGACCACCGATGGTAGGGCGGTTGGGGCGGGGGACGTGGAGCAGACCGGAGCCAGAGGAACGGAGGGTACGGGCAGGCAGGTAGGGGGATAGTAGGTTGGAGAGGTAGGAGGGAGTGAATGGCCTTGTAGGTGAGGATGAGAATCTTGAAATCAATCCTCTGGGGGATGGGGAGCCAGTGGAGGCGAGCGAGGGTGGGAGTGATGTGGTCCGAAGCCTGGTGCGGGACAGTACACGAGCTGCAGAGTTCTGAATGACCTGCAGCTTGTGGAGGGAGGTGGCGGGAAGGCCGGCGAGGAGAGAGTTCCCATAGTCCAGCCTTGAGGTGACAAAGGCGTGAACCAGGGTTTCAGCAGCGTGAGGGGTGAGGTAGTGCCGTAGTCTGGCGATGTTCCGGAGGTGATGGAAGGCGGTGCCAGTTGTGGTGCGGATGTGAGGGAGAAAGGACAGCTCAGGGTCGAACAAAACGCCGAGGTTCCTGACTGGCTTTGAGAGGTGGAGAGTGCAGCCTTGGATGCTGATGGTGTCAGCGCCTGAGGTGCGGAGGCGCTGACGTGAGCCAATCAGGAGGGCCTCGGTTTTTCGCACGTTGAGCTGAAGAAAGTTGTCTCTCGTCCAGGACTCGATGTCGGACAGGCAGGCTGTCAGGACATCGGTGGTCGTGGAGTTGAGAGTAGAGGAGGAAAGGTAGAGTTGGGTGTCATCCGCATACATGTGGAAGTTAACTCCATGTCTGCGGATGATGTCACCGAGGGGGAGCATATAGAGGGTGAAGAGGAGGGGACCGAGGACAGAGCCCTGAGGGACACCACATGAGACAGTACGGGGGGTGGAGGAGAAGCCATTCGTTGAGACAAAGTGAAGACGGTGAGAAAGGTACGACCTAAACCATTCAAGGACAGTGCCTTGAAGGTTGAGGTGGGAGGACAAGCGGTGGAGTAGGATAGCGTGGTCGACCGTATCGAATGCTGCCGATAGGTCGAGGAGGACGAGGAGACAGAGGGAGCCCTGGTCACAGATGGTCAGGATATCATTGGTGACCTTGACCAGGGCAGTTTCTGTGCTATGGGCAGCACGGAAACCTGACTGAAGGGGTTCAAAAAGAGAATGGGTGGAAAGGAAAGAGCGCAGTTGGGAGGCGACAACTCTTTCCAAGACCTTGGAGAGAAAGGGGAGGTTGGAGATGGGCCGGTAGCTTGATAGCTGCGACGCATCAAGGGAGGGTTTTTTCAGGGTGGGCGTGATGATGGCAGTTTTTAATGGAATGGGGACAGAGCCAGAGGAGAGGGA